CCTGCCAGGTGAGGGGGCGGGGCCACACACACCTATGACGCAGGTGGTTTATCAGGTAGAGTTGTACTAAAGTGAGTGTGGGGCGTTGGGAACCAAATTGATACTCTTTCACCACACCCCCCGACCGTGGGAAGGGGTGGTGGGACTGGGTTCTTAATTTCCAACAAATGGAAATCACAAAGCTGCTACCCCGAATCACTATGCTCCCTCGAATACCATGCTGTCTTGGTGTCCGCTCCAGTAAAGGTCTCTGTGATTGTCATATACCGTCCACCAGGACAAATGGGTAACTTTGTGGACGAGCTTGACACACTGCTGTCTTCAATACCAGAGCATGACTGTCCCCTACTTGTCCTCGGTGACATGAACATTCACTTCGACAATTCAAAACATTTATGTAACACGGGTTCTCAGCCCCCAACCCACACAGCTGGCAAGGTGCTTGACCTCATTCTTGTCCGAAACTGTGCCACAGAGTGCCTAACAGTCACACCTCTACATGTGTCAGACCACTATTTCATTCAGTTCACAGTATGCCTAAAGGAGAAAAGCCCATTGTTCCAACACCGTTGGTCTCACACCGCCGCAACCTCCGCAACCTGTCTCCCGCTCACTTTGCCTCAGTGGTAGCTTCCGCTCTACTTTCCCTCAACACATTTTCCTCACTTGAGGTCAATGATGCCGCACAATCTCTGTGCTCTACACTAAGCTCGTGCCTGGATTGTCTGTGTTCTGTATCCACCAAGCCTGCTCGCCCAAACCAGTCCCACCCGTGGCTAACTGATACCATCTGTGGGCTTCGTACTGGTCTCAGAGCTGCTGAAAGAAAGTGGCAAAGACCCCGCCGACCTTAAGGGCTACCAACTCCTATCCTGCTTCTCAACAAGCATCAGTGCTGCCAAAACTGCATTCTATAATGACAGAATAAGCAGTGCCACTGACTCAAGGAAATTATTTTCCACTTTTAAAGCGCAACCAAATCCTCCACCACCCACAAACTTGTCTGCTGATACCTTTGCTGCCTTCTTCACAGGCAAAGTGGAGGCTATAACTAGCCAATTCTCTGAAACACTCAAACTCAACCATTGTAGCAGTCCTACTACATGCCCACTGGACCCGATTCCTACGAATCTCCTCCAAGCCATATCTCCTACTGTGGTCCCGACAATCACTCATGTGATAAATACTTCTCTGGCTTCAGGAACCTTCCCGACCGCTTTCAAAAGGGCTCGGGTTACACCCTTGTTTAAAAGACTTGACCCAACTCAAGTTGAGAACTATCGACCAGTGTCTCTTCTACCATTTTTATCCAAAACTATTGAACTGCAGTATTCAAACAGGTCTCAGAATTCCTCTCATGGAATGACCTCCTAGATCCATATCAGTCTGGTTTTAAGAGTGCCCACTCTACTGAAACGGCTCTTCTGTCTGTAACAGAAGCTCTAAGGTCAGCTAAAGCTGCAGCCCAATCCTCGGTTCTTATCCTGCTTGACCTATCAGCTGCCTTTGACACAGTCAACCACAGGATCCTGCTATCCGCTCTCTCAGCAATGGGCATCTCGAGTAAAGCACTCCTGTGGTTTGAATCCTACCTCTCGGGGCGTTCCTATAATGTTTTGTGGCAAGGACAGTTATCCTCCTCCCACTGCCTCTCCACAGGGGGGCCCCAAGGCTCAGTGCTTGGGCCCCTTCTCTTCTCAATTTACACCACCTCACTGGGGCCGATCATTCGCTCGCACGGCTTCTCTTACCGCTGCTACGCAGACGATACGCAACTCTACCTATCCTTCCCGCCACGCGATCCCACCGTCTCGGCGATCACGGACTGTCTATCAGACATATCTGCATGGATGAAGTCTCGCCACCTTCAACTAAACCTCTCTAAGACTGAACTCTTGGTCATTCCGGCCAAGCAATCTATCCACCATAACTTCACACTACAAATTGGCTCCTCAACCATCACTCCAACAAGGGTGGTTAATGCCCTCCTAGCAGGTCTTCCAGCTTGTGTGGTGAAACGCTTACAAATGATTCAGAACGCAGCAGCGCGTCTGGTTTTTGATCAGCCCAAAAGGACGCATGTCCCTCCATTACTCAGTGACCTCCACTGGCTCCCCATGGCCTCCAGAATCAAATTCAACTCCATAATACATTTACATTTACTCATTTGGCAGATGCTTTTATCCAAAGCGACTTACATTTGAGGAACAACATACAAGCATCAACAGAGCGTCAAATACAGATTTACAACTGACAATATATATAATACAAACTTACGTTCCTTCTCGGCCGCTACGCTCCTCCAACGAACGCCGCCTGGCTCTGCCGTCCCTTCACACAAAGCGACCTCAGTCCCTGTTCTCACCTGTGACACCACGATGGTGGAACGAGCTACCGCACGCCATCAGAGCAGGGGCGTCCCTCTCTGACTTCAAGAGGCTCTTGAAAACTCATCTCTTCCGAGAACACTTTCTCTTATAACACCTCTAACTTCTAACCTCTAACATGCACTTCCTGTGCTCTTCTTCTATCCCCTACAATGATCTTGTTTTGATTGCACTTTTTGTTAACTCTTACTTCCTTCCCTCGGTATCTACCCCATTGATGTGATATGTACTGTGAGCTCTTACTAGTATGTTTTGTCAGTTGTAGATCTGTATTTGATGCTCTGTTGATGCTTGTATGTTGTTCCTCAAATGTAAGTCGCTTTGGATAAAAGCGTCTGCCAAATGAGTAAATGTAAAGTGAGCGTGGGGCGTTTTGGAACTAACTAATGTTCAAAGATAAAGATGAACGGGTCAGAATATTTTGGTTTGATAACTTGTACAAGGTGTTGGGTGATACGGACCAATAGGAGCACAGAGCACAGATTTTATTGTCTTATGTTCTCTGAACCTGTCATGTTTCAGCTGTGACTACTTTACAGATCTGTTCAGTAATATAGTCATTCTCAGAAAGTTGGGTTTGACTCGCGCACCATGAAGTGACCTTACAGTATTTAATACAGTCTGTGTGTTTCAGGGATGCTGGAGGACGGCGGCGATGGTCTCCACATCTCAGACGCCTTCCATAAAGCCTTCCTGGAGGTCAGTTATAAACTGCTGACATCACTGACTGCTGCTCTCTGATTGGCTTCAGTAATTTGTCTGTAAATGTAATTTCCCATCTTAAAGGTCCAACAGCTCTTTTAAATCTTTCATCGTATCAGAACCAAACTCTGTTGGGTCAGTAGTTTTGGTTTGTTTGTCACCTCTGTCTGCAAGTTGTACTTTTTCTGTGCATTCAGTTTTGTAAACTTGGACAATAAACCCCCCAAAAAGCCAAGAAAACCGATTGAGGACATGAACTCGGTGTCTCCAGTGAAGCCAGAGCAGACTGGATCCTGATAAACCGGTTTCTGTTCCGCAGGTGAACGAGGAGGGCAGCGAGGCGGCAGCAGCCACCGCTGTGGTCGCCATCGGACGCTCCTTCAACTTCAACCGGGAGGTTTTCCAGGCCGACCGACCGTTCCTGCTGCTCATCAGAGAGTCGAGCATCAACACGCTGCTGTTCACCGCCCGAGTGGCCGACCCCTGCAACCAATAAAAACTCTGAGCTCAAAATCAAGTACTAACAAGTAAATGTACACGTTCCTCTGTAACAGGCAGCGTGTGTCTGACCACGTAAAAAGAATCATCACACCTGATTTCTCTTCTGTGTTTACTCCACATCCTGCAGCGTTAGCCACACGCTACATGCTACAGGTCAGATCACATAAAGGTATCATCCTTCAGATTTCACTCCTTTGGTCCTCAGTCCTGATGAGAATGTTCTTATCCAGCATGTGAATCACTGACCATTCAAACTGCTGTTTAGACGGGTAATGAAAAAAAAACAATTTATACAACTTAACTTTTAATATTTAGGACCATTTGGTCAAATTCTCATTCAAACTACTAGGATTTGCAGAAGCTGCATGTTTCAGCTCCTCTGCTCGCTTGCTAACTCACACAAACTCAATCACAGTGATCAGCGTGCCAATACGAGGTTATACACCGATCAGCCAGAACATTATGACCAGCTGCTGGCACCAGCTGCCCGAGAGGTTTGGAGATGTTCTGACCCGGTCCTCTAGCTATCACAGTTCGGTTCTTGTCAGCGTTCAGGCTGCACGCCAAAGTGACTCAAATCCGATTTTATTTTTTTTGCCCATATGTGACTCGGATCTGATCTTTTTCTGACCGTGAGAACAGGCCAGGTCACACGGAACCTGATCTTTTCCAGTTTGGAATCAGTCTGAACGCAGCTGTAGCCGTGTTTCCATCTAATTTTAAGTGAAAGTTGACATTATTCATGGCTGTAATAAAGAAGTAAAGGTTACAAACCAGAAACAAATCCAGTCTCATGGACCTGACTGAGGTCTTCAGAAATGTCTTTCAACAGCCAGGAAGACGCCGCCAGCGGAAACAGCCGATCCGGCATGTGAGGTAAATGTTCGCTACGGCAGAACTTATTCAGCAGAGATGTTCCCGTCTTCCATTTAACTCGTTAGCTCTTTTTCCAAAAACATCGAGCGAACATCGCCCTTTTTTAGACGCTTCAAAATGTGAATAAGAAACACAACTTGTGAGGACACGGTGTTCACCTGCTGCCTAATACATCCCACCCGCTGACCGGTGCCATGGTAACCAGGTAATCAGTTACTGACTCCATGCAGTTACTCTTCATCAGCGCTTCATGAACTATGAGTGTGCAGCTGCATTGTGGGTAACGAGTGCTGGTGAAGAAAGAGGCGAGTCGGTGCCGGTTGACACTTAAAGTGCTTTATTTCCTCTGAAGGAGATGTGACCTGTGAGTGATCTAGTGGTCATGGTGAAAGAAGCTTCTTCACATTTTTCTTAACTAATAATCAACCTTTGGCCTCACCCGCCCCCCCCCCCCTCCCTCCACCAACAGAGACATGCAACATAAAAGATCTTCACATAAAACCTTTCAGGTTCTTCTACTACAGAACTTCTTAAGTACCTCCTCTTTAAAAAATGTACAGTATTAAAAGTTAATTTACTAAACTTTTTTTCTTGGACTCATTTTCTGCTTTGATATATTAGGATATACTTTGAGGAATCAACAGTAAAGAGTAATCTCGTTAGGTGAATATATCTAAATGATTTATAATTAGGCATGTTGTGGTCAAGGTTATTCGTATACTAAACGTTTGATTCACGCAGTAAAAAGTAAAAAAAACAAACAAAAAAAGCCAGAAGTTTCAGACTGAAGCTGAAGAAACGTGAACGTTCGGAGACTCGACCGACTCAAAGACACCGTGAAGACCAGAGGGCGGCGCTGCTGTACGAGGTTGGGCTGTTTTCACAGTTTGAAGATGAAACTGGAACTGAAATGAGGGAAAGTCGGGAGCTGATCTGGAAGCAGCTTCCTCTCGACTTCAATTGGCTTGAAATGACTGAAAGCAAAAAGACCTCAGTGCAGAAAGGGGGACGCCACCCGGTCTGGACCGGTTCAGGCCAAGTTGAATTTGTTGCATAATTTGATCAGCAGCCAAAAGATTTGAGATTAAATCTGAAGTGATGGTTTCTTCCCTTCGCTGCACTTCGGTCTGTTTGTTCTTCTGAAGGACGAACGTGTTCGTGTGTTTAACTCAGAGCTGGGCAACATGTGAAACCTGTTTTACTCATCAGGAAATCCTGATGCCAGATTTCTCCTTTAAGAGAAAGCGCTTCGCAGTTTTCTGCAGGTTTAGTGTCAAAACTGCGGCAGCTGAATGTTTGAACACAGCGAATGAATCCGGAAATGTTTCAGAGTGACAGCTCACCTGCAGCATTAGCCACGCCTTCTTTTCTCTCTTTATATTGTGATGAAATGAACATTTCTGGATGTTCGGGCTGATGTTCTGAAGGCTGTTTGTCTTTAGTGAATAATGAAGCTCCGCTCTCAGCTGCACCGACATTTAAAACATCACTAAATTAAAACGGGTTGCAGCACAAAGATTAGCTGTTGTTAAAGTGCACAGGTGTCATAACAAAACTCAAGCTAGCGTAACAAGCTGCGTGACTCCTTTATATCTGACCGCTGTAGCGACGCTGTGAACTGGGAAGATTTAAGCAGTTACAAAACACGACGCCGATAACATGACCAACAGCTGTTAGCTTAGCATCAGATACATCCTGCTCGTTCTAAATGAATATCGCTAAAACAGATTTCTACATTTACATCTGCAGCTAAGTTTATATTTAACGTTTGATCAGTGGCCGACAGAGAGGAACATTTAGCTAATATTATTATAAAAGAGAACATCTAACGGCTTTAATGTGTTTTTTTTTTTGCTGACCTCAGTGGTTTCCCTCCTCACCTGGCTGCAGTGATGAACAGGTGTAGGACCCGGTGACATCACTGCTGGGCGTGGTTACAGGTGTAACAAAACGCTGCTTTCCAGCCTCTTAAATAATATTTCCTGCATAAGTCAGCATGTGCAAACCTTTCAGTTGCCTTATATGCACATAACTGCAATTATTATATATATATTTGTATATCTAAATAAACTGAAGTGAATATTTGTGCATTCTGAAAACAACTTAACATATTTATAATGTATATTAATATAATATTCATAAACCAGATACTGCGGCATGTGAGCGGTAATACACAACAAGGTGTCCTGACTTATGGAGCTTAAGGTGATGGTCACCGTCACACTGAACAAACTGTGCAGCCAATCAGAAACCAGTATTTTCTGGTGGTTATTTGCTGCATTCCGTTTACCTCGGAAGTCGGAACTGGGAATGAAAACCAGGATCAACCGGCTGATGCCCACGTGTCCACAGATGGGAGAGTTCCCAAGTGTGATAAACAGTTTCTCGCTACAGCTTCCACGCGGTCGATGCTCGGGGCAGCCATCTTGGATTCTGAGGTCGGGGTTGGTGAGGTTGTCCCGACTTTCCGAGTCGGAAACACGACTTAGGCGTTCAAGTTGAAATTTCTGACTGGGAACTGAGAAATCCCGACTTCCCGTGTCAAATGAAACGCTGCATAACTCCATATTGCCCAGCCCTGGTTTGTGTGTTTTTGTCGCCCTCTGCGGCGACTCTCAGGGATGTCTTACCTGCTGCTGTTGGGTTTATTTACAGGTGAGTTTTATTTCTGCGGTGTGTAGCTCGCACTGAGGTTTAGCGTTCTGCTACGTAGGGAAAAGGTAAACGTCCCGATTCACTGAATAAAAAGAAAGTCTGTATACCTGAAAGTTCCTGGTTTTGCCTGAAGAGCGAGTGCGGCGGCGGCGGCGAGAGGAAAACTCGAGTCCAGCCAGCCGGAGCGAGGACAGAGCCGCTGGCTTCACTTGCATAAAAAAAGTTTACCGTCCACTGAGAATCTGATTCACAGCTCTGTAGAAAAACAGTAACAGCCGATCTGTGTGCTACCTGCCTGCCAACATCTGAACTCCTAGCTTACATTATTCATATGCAAAAACATCTTAGTAGTTTAAATATGTCTGATAATATGTGATTTTATATTGTTCTGTTTTTATAAAAAGTTCTGCTTTGATCCCGTCTCTCTGATAAGTGCTGAAGTTGGCCACGCCGTCTTTCCTTTGGTTGCCAGGTGACCTCCAGCAGGTGAACTTTGACCTCTGGAGGGTTTATTTTTTAGTCCAGCTCCATCTGGTCTGACGGGATCTGGCTCCTCGTCCTGTCGCCACCCGATCAGAACCATCGGACATAATGACGCATTACCTCTCCTGCACACGTGCCACTGTCTGTTAGCTGGCGAGCTAACATTAGCTGGCGAGCTAAAGTCACAACATATCAGTGTGGAAGTTGTTTGAAGGTAGATTGTTTCTCTTTTGGTAGAGCTGGGTTAGCTTCCAGGCTTTGTGCTAAGCTAGGCTAAACACATCCTGGACCCATCTCTGGACACACAGGGATGAAACATGAGACGCCGGAGAATAAAGTTTCACCATCGGTCGTAGAAACGCCACAGTTTTCCTAAAAGTCTGCGTAATAGCTTATTGTTAAATAGTAGCAAGCTAACGTGAGCTAACACATCATAAGTAAGCGAACAATCTGTTGGCTTCTAGACTGATACATAAATTTAATACATAAAATTAAGCCAACAAATGTTAAATAGTCAACATCAGTTAGCTTATAAACGGAAACATTAGCTTGTGTTTGTTTATGCTGATTTTCCGTCCGTCCAATAAAATTTTATACTAGATACAGATGCTAATTATATTAGCATGAATGGGTTATGATTGCTCTGAAAGAAGTAGGAATTAAAATCAGTTAGTTTGCAAGCTAATGTTGATTTTCTTAACAAATGTCAACATTAGCAAACAAAGCGCAGCTGTCATGAGCATTAGCTCTTTTAGCAACAGGGGTCTTTGTAACTGACTGTAAAAATAGATTTCTTTAAGCCGCTGGATCACAATTTGAACGTGAAAGTCTGTTAGCTCGTAAGCTAATGTTAGCATTACTTCCCTTCATTTTGATGACAGCTGTTATCGTTGTTAGCTAGCTAGCGTTCTGTTAACTGTCTGAATATATTTATTAAGTGAAGCTTCTTCTTGACTTTACTTCTTGACTCTCTCGTCAGAGACGTTTGAAGAGGAGACACGCCGCTAACTCTACAGGGAAAGCCTGTAACGCCAAAGATGGCGGTTATTCCGCCCCTTCTGCTAAAAAGCCAATCGCCTGCTTTTAACAGCCGAGCCGGAAACATACTCAGCCAATCGTGTGGCTCCACCTGTTTGAGAAAGTGCAGTTGTGGCTCTCTGCCCGTTCATTCAGAGAGAGACATGATCCCGTTAGTCCCAAATACCTGACCCGGAGGCCTTACCAAGGCTGCCGAGCGGCGGGACCCGCCTATGAGGACCTACGGCGTGCAGCAGATGTAATGCGTCATTAATTTTCTGATCCGGCGGCGACGCTGCGTCTCCTCGTCCTCCTCGAACATTAAGCTTCTGTCGTCTGTCACACACATTGTCAGAGCAAAGAAAAAAGTGTCCAAGAAAAACAAAACACATGCTTGTATATAAAAATATCTGAGGTCTCTGTGTGAGTGATCAGAGCGCCCCCCGGTGGTGCTGTGCAGTGCAGCAGCTGTATTGCGTAGTGATGAGAGGTAACTGAGCTGTGTAGCTTATCTGAGGCTGGACACCGTCCAGTTTTCCTGCTGTGAGTCTGTTCGGTCAACAGGCTGCCGGATGGTCCTTTCTAATCTAGTTCATCTGCCACGATACTCAAACATTAATCGGAAGAATTTAAACTCATTTTACAGCCAAATTTACAAAGATCCTGTGTGATCGGAGTTCCTCACTTTTCATCCTTTCACCGCGTGAAGCGTGAGATTCATTCTCCACCTCGGGGACACAAACATGTCAAACATGCATCCCATGACCTGTTTCCAGGGTGTGTACGACCACCTGTTATCACGGGACCGAAGTCCGGTTCTCAGGTCACCTACTGGAAAACGCCAGGGGACGCGGTCAAAAGCTCTGCTAATAGCTGAGTGCGTTTAGAATATTTAATACAGATGATAAACTGTGATTTGACACAATTCACCAATCAGCTCATTCTCAAACTCATTCACTCAGAGTTGGAAGGAAAGCTGCAGTTTACTTTGAGTATCGGGAACTATTTTGAGCTCGGTTCCAGCATCTTATCTTAATGTGACACTAAACTCTATATTTTTGGGTTTTGGTCGGGTTCAAGTCACCTTGTGAAGCTTTGTTCCTGTTTTCTTACATCTCATCTCAGAGAAAGAAACCTGAAGGTGTTCTAATAGTTTTCGTTATTTTTTTACAAACTGGACTTTTGGATCTGGGATCAGGACTGACAGGTCAGTTGTGTAATTGAGGACAGAGAACCGGATGCGGTTAGTTTTCTTGGTGACGGCGTACAACAGGAGTTCAGTAGTGTGAAGTTGTGTAGTGTGAGACCTTCATCCAGGGAAAAGATCCGAAACTCCGATCACACTGGATCTGAACTTTAACAGTCATAGTTTTCTCATTGAACCTTTTTGCGCAGCTAAATCTTTGATGCCGCTGTGGCACTTTTAAGAGGGCGCAGGATTATTCTCACTAACCTCGCTGCTCCAGATTGTCTCAAGGCAAATATGAAGAATTTGAGCCGTTAAACTGGCACAGAGGAGTTTGGCAAAGTTTCCACCAGACAGACTGTTGTGATGCTGCACTGTGAACCTGTAACACCTGTAAATATAAAAGTAGAAATCTGTAACATAAACTAAACGGAGGCAAACGAGGACCACGGCGTCGTGTGGTGTATGAGGTTGTTGGAGTGTGTGGCATTTCTTCGTTTTAGCTTAATCTGTCCGGTTCGGTTCGTGAAGGTAGATGCGGTTTAAAGCGGAAAAATCTCAGTTCTCTGAGGCGTCCTTTCTGTCGCTGCTTTGACTCCGGCGGGTTCAGCATCCTGTTGGCTCCCGGTGCAACAGAATCAGACGGCCCTTTACGTCTGTCACCCCCCACCCCAACCGTGACCCTCCCTCGGGGTCAGTCGGGCCCCGTGGTGGAGACCGAGGCCTGGGGACCCTCACTGTACTGGCCTCCGCCGCTGCTGCTTCCGCCCCCGCCCTCTGGCTCCTCCTGGCTGGGGGAGGCCTCGTCACTCGGCCCTCCCCTGGATGTGACGGAGGCGGTGGTGGTCTCGGGGGAGGCGCTGTGGGCCTCCTGGGGGGCGCAGCCTGGGTGGTTCTTGCGGAAGTGCTGGTTGAGGATGGCCTGGAAGGGGAAGCTCTTGCCACAGACGTGGCAGTGGAAGGGCTTGTTGCCGGTGTGCTTGCGGATGTGGTACTCCAGCTGGTCCTTGCGGGTGTACTTCTTCCCACAGATGCGACAGACGAACGGCGTGATGCCCATGTGCAGACGCATGTGTCGGTCCAGGCTGCCTTTCTGGTTGAAGGACTTGCAGCAGTAGATGCAGGTGAGTCGAGGATTGTAGCGGAACCAGCGGTCTCCTACCTGCTCCCTCAGGTAGTCCTCGTAGCCACCCATATCAAACGCTGCATGCTCCTCCCCCTGCGGGCAGAAGGAAACGTTAGTACAGACGAGACCAGAACAGGCTGAGCTCTGGACAAACTGCTGTGATTTAGGTACAGGCTCAGCACGGTTCCAGAGCGCTGACTCGCCCCCTTAAGGGGTTTGGGGTTTCAGTGTTTTACTCCCAGATCGGGTTTCAAACTTCAGCACTTCAAGTACTGACAGAAATGTGTGCTTTAGAATTTTCTAGAGGCCACCGAGGAGGTTCTAGGCGGCGTGGTGAATCTCTGCCAACAAGGACTTTCTGTTCTGGAGGCTCTTTAATTTAAGGTGAGCAGGTTTCTGAAATGAAAACAGGCTTCTGTTATTGGCTGTAATCACGTAAAGCTCAGACCTGATCACGCTATAAGCACTTGTTTGGCCACAATAGTGATTCTTCTGTTAAAAGAACCGTTAAAGTTTCACAAAGACGAACCTTTGTGACATAAAGTGATGTTTGTTTGCACGTTATGTCTGTTTGATCCAGATAAAAGCAGCTGTAGATGTAAAGAGGCGGGGCGATAACGTTACATGCTGCGCGCGCTCAACAATCAGTTCCTGGCCACGTAAAATCTGATCTCAGGTCTGTTAACACCTTATACAGTCTACGATTAACACACAGTTAAAAACGGGGCAGCTCCAGACGGGTACAGTCCCCGGATGCGGGGACGTCTGGTCACCCTACTCATGGTAGAACAAATTTATGTTTCACAGCCGTCTGTACTGCACGTAGAGAATCTACAGGAAGCTCTATGGGGCCCTCTGATGTTCTTATGGCAGCTGAGGAGGTTCTGGGGATCCTTTAGTAAGTTACAGTGGCAACTGTGAAGTTTTTGGATTGTTTAAGAGGTTCTAGTTCAGAAGGTTCTAATCTACTGGAACATGAGCAGGTTCTACGGGTCCCTCAGGAGTATCTGGGGGTAATTTAAGAGATCCACCAATGTGTCCCTGAGGAAGACACTGAACCTCCAGACGCGTGCGACCTCTGACATGTACAGCAGCTGTAAGTCGCTTTGGATAAAAGCGTCTGCTAAATGAATAAATGTGATGAATGAGGGCGTTCCTGTGGCAGCTGATGAGGTTCTAGCATTACGGGGATTTCAGAAGTTGAACACCGAAGTGAGATTTTGGAGGGACGTGTGACGCAGTAAGTAAAGAGCTTTTGAAGTGCAGCGTCAGCTCTAAACTTTATGTTGTGGCCATCAGGCTGAACAACAAACCGGGATTTACTAACAACATCTAACCTCTGCATTTTCTAACGGAACACTTTACGGAACACGAACGCCGCCAGGCTCTCCCGGCCGGCTTCCTATGTTGGCGATTGTTCCGGTCCACCTGTGAGGGGGTTGGTTTTTGGTACCTGGGAGCTCGGCTGTCGCAGCTCGTCCGCCCGGCTGGGAGACTCGCTCTTCGCTCTCTGACGCTCCGCCAGGACGACCACGCTGCCGGTGGGACTGAACCTGACGCATCAACACACACAGACACACAGCGTCATGAGGCGTCCACGGTCGGGACGGCGCTCTGCAGCGTGACGTCGCTGTGACTCACCTGTCTGTCTCGCTGAAGCTGGAGGACGGTTGGACTCTCTGCGCCCCCAGTGCTCCCACAGGCCCCGTAACCAGCGTGCTGCGTCCAGATGTGTCGATCATGACGGTGGCCCCCTCCTCCACCGGCCCCCCATCCTCCTGGTGCTCTCCTGCTCCGATCCACTCCTCCATCCTCTCCGTCTTGATCCTCACTCGGTCCGTGCCGCCGCCCTCCTCGGCGCTGCCGGTCCGCTCCGGCTCGCTGCTCGTCTCCACATACCACTGACCCGCCCGGTTGATGCGAAGGATTGGTTCTTTGCCCCCTCTGCCGGCGGCGACCCCGGCCCCCTCCAGCCCGCTGTGCTCCACCATCGGCGACGGGCTGAGCGGCTCCTCAGTGGGGCTGACCGCCTCGCACGCCTCTGCACCTCCCCGTGGGCCGAGGAGCCGCAGGCCGCCATGATGGCCGCCTCCTCGCACAACAGCCTCCAGGGTCCTGTTGCCCCTGGAGCCCCGCGCCGCCTCCTCCTCCATGGGCTCCTCATCCAGGTCAGCCAGGCTGATCTTCAGGTGGATGCCCTCCAGGATCTGGGTGCAGCGGTCGATGATGTGCTGCATCTGCAGGAAGCTGGCGGCCGTCAGATAGCTGATGATGTCGGCGAGCTGCAGGCAGAGGCGGCCCGTGTAGCAGAAGGACAGCAGCTGCTCGAACACCGTCGGGTTGCGGATCACCGTCAATGAGACGGTGCTCATCTGGCTCAGAGACATGTGGTCCCGGAAGTACGGTGAGCTGGCTGCGAGGACCACCTTGTGCGCCCGGAAGCTCTGGCCCTGCACGTTCACCACGATGTCGCAGAGACGGCCCTGAACACGCAGCTGGTTCAGGTGGGACAGAACCGAGTTACTGAAGTCCGGGATGTCCAGCTGGATGCTGCCTGTGCGCTCCATGCTGCAGCCTGCAGGGACAGACCGGGATCAGAACCGGATCAAGGTCAATCTCTAAAATACAAGCGTTGTAACAACAATCCAGAATCATCCTGATCTCTAAAAGCTGCGTGACGTGTATTTAAATGTGGATCAATGTGACTCTGGTGGACCCCTGAGCTTCTCTGGACCCCTGAGCTTCTCTGGACCCCTGAGCTTCTCTGGCGGACCCCTGAGCTTCTCTGGACCCCTGAGCTTCTCTGGTGGACCCCTGAGCTTCTCTGGCGGACCCCTGAGCTTCTCTGGACCCCTGAGCTTCTCTGGACCCCTGAGCTTCTCTGGCGGACCCCTGAACAAACCGGTGATGTAATTAATCAGCTGCAGTGATTGACAGCCAGTCACTGCTCCAGAAATGGAGTTTTAACTTGTGTCAGTGCACCTCCTAAGCCCTGATCCTGGACCAGGTTTTGCACAGCAGTCCAGATCTGTGACGTTTCAGTTTCTGATCAGCTCCGGAAAGCTGCGACAGGACGAACGTTGTTTAACTCGTGAGGTGGAGAAAACGAACAGAAGTGAAACTGCCGCTGTGGACGTTTGTGTTGTTGGTGGTTCATCAGATTTCCTCTATTTTCCCCGCGACAAACCTTCTGAGCAGCTCAGTGACTGAAGCCTCAGAGTCAGACAGCCGAGCAGGACTGTGACGGTCCTGGATCAGGACCAGGACTGAACCTGAGCTGAGTCTGTAGCAGTGAGGACGAACACCGAGCTACTAAGTACATTTACTACAGCACCGATCGTTTGTGAAATGCAGTGGGGCATAAAACTAAAGATAAGAAGTAAATTAGATCAGTTCTGCACGCTCTCCCTCCAACACCTGCCACGTCCTGAAATCTTCAGCATCATAATCTGTATTTTTCTATTCCATCATTAAAACTTCCTTCTAAGAACTCTTTCACACCTGAAGGTTTTAATGCGTTCAGTTAGCTCTGGTTTGGTTTCACACTGCAGCTATTCGAGCGCACTAAACAACTTTAAATGAACGTCCTCGCTGTGCGAAAGGAGGGAGGAGGCAGCAGCGATCCTTCTGCTCCTCCGTCTGAGGAGAGGCCGACTGTTTCTGAAGATGAGCTGATTTATAAACGTGTCCTTATTTCAGTGCATTTCATCTGCTGCGTCCTCTTCTCTCCTGTAAATGGTCTGAAAGTAACCGAGACTACCTCCTTTCATCGGACCATATTGCGTCTGTGCGGTCCGGCCCGTGGCCCCGGGAGGTGTGAAAAGGCCCTGAAACAACACGTCACGATGTTAGATTGTACTAATATACATACAAATACTGGAATTACACACGACTTGTACGCTGTTTGATATCGTTTATATATCAGGCGCCCGGCTCTCTAAATATCGGCAATTGAAAAACTCGTAATCGGTCAACTGCTCCAAGGACCGAGGGCGTAGAGAGATCTTAAAGCCTTGAGGCTGATCTGGGATCTGGGATGTTGGGCGGTATAATTAACACAGACTTGTTTTTTTTTACAGATTACAGTTGAAACCCCGTATCTCCAGGTGTAGGTGATGAAGAGTTCCTTCATGTTCTGAGAAAATCCTCCTTCAGATAAATAAAAACTTCTGGGATCAGCTGCAAAACGCATCGTCACAAAGAGATAGGAGGTTCTCACAGGACACACCTTATAGACCATGATGCACTGCTGCAGATTAAACCAGCCAACAGGATATAAAGGAGTTAAAATGCAACATCCACATTAATGCAGCAGGAATATTAATCCAGAACCATCAGATATAACAGAAACACATTTTGCTGCAACATGAGTACTTTTACTGCAGTACTGTATGTACACGCTAATACTTCGATACTTTACCTGAAGGAAGGTTTGAACGTAGGATTTTTACTTGTAGTGGAGTATTTCAGTGTGGTTTAGTATTTTTACTGCAGTAAATAAGTAAAACTTCCTCCACTGCTCCTGATGACAGTTGTGGACCAGCACCTGGACCAGCACCTGGACCAGCACCTGGACCGACCCACCAAACTTCAGCCTGTTCTACATGTTCAGAAACGGATCGGGACTGGAGTTAGACCTGAACCTGTGTCCTGTCAGAGTCTGTGATGCTTTAGTGTCGTCACCTGTTCTGAACACTGAGCTCACCTGTCTGTCACGTGACAAGTGAAGACACTGGGACCTGGTTCCGGACCAACATGGAGGCATCGGTTCTGGTAAAAGCATCACAGAATCTGAGAGGTTTCAGGGTAACACCTGTCCCGGTCTGACAGCAGGACCCGGAACCTGATCCGGACACGCAGGGCAGTGCCGGCCTGCCTCGGGGGACCAGGTTAACCCCCCAGGTGTGTAGCCGGACTCTCACCTGAAGGGGGGACGGGGGGAGATCGGGTCTGGTTTCAGGGCGAGGTGCAGTCGAGGCTTGAGTCCGCAGCTATCTGAGCATCGTCAGCAAGGCGGGAGATGATGAGGGCTCAGCACGGCTCGGCCCGGCTCGGCCCGGCAGCCTGCAGCTCCACCCGCCGCTCCTCCGGGCTCCGGCGGCTCCTCCAGGCTCCGGCGGCGGTCGTGACGGGTTCAAGGCCGGAAAACAGCAGCTGAGCTCGGCCTCCGGTCCGTCAGCAGCCGCTCTGCCGCCATTCCGCAGGAAGTGAGGCTCGGTTCAGGCTCGGTGTCGGCGGACCGCCGCAGCTTCTCATCTTCCTTTTTCACGGCAGAAGGGCCGAGGCTGCAGGAAGGAAGGAGAGGAGGACGAAAACGCGCGGGGTGCGCTGGGAAATGTAGTTCACGTCCTGCAGGAGCGCTGGTTTAAAGGCCGCTTTAAAGACTTCACATCCCGACATGCACCTGAGAGAAGCGGGGTCATGATGGCACTTGCAGTTTGGCAAAGTGAAGTTCACGCACGCACGTACGCACACACGCACGCTCGTTAAACTTCTAGGAGCAGAAACGAAACATAAACAAATCGTGCACGAGATCCAAGCACACTTTTATAAACTCTCTAACAAATGTGAAAGCTTCGCTGTGTTTGATGCTGCAGGAACAAACATGTGACGACATTTATGCAAGAAAAAGCTGAACAAATATTTCATAGAAACATGAGCTGATGTGTGATAGGTGTGTGTGTTCCTGCACACGGCTGTCTTTGTGTGTAAAGTAATTAAAAAGGTGTTTTGGATATACAGAATACAGACCTGTGAACATGTCACCCTCAGTGTCTAACGTTGTGTAGTAACAGGCTGTAACATTACACTTATCTGACGCTTTTATCCAAAAAAAAGGAAACACGAAAGCGACTTATAATTGTTTTACATGTCAGAGCTCGCACACCTCTGGAGCAATGAGGGGTTAAGTGTCTTGCTCAGGGACACAATGGTGGATGTTTCACAGTGAGAATTGAACCCGGGTCTCCCACACCAAAGACATGTTTCTTATGCCCACCCACACCCAGGGTCTAACAGCGTGTAACAGGGTCTAACGGCGTGTAACAGGGTCTAACGGCGTGTAACAGGGTCTAACAGGCGTGTAACAGCGTGTAACAGGCGTGTAACAGGGTCTAACAACGTGTAACAGGGTCTAACAGGCGTGTAACAGGGTCTAACAGGCGTGTAACAGCGTGTAACAGGCGTATAACAGGGTCTAACAGGCGTGTAACAGGGTCTAACAGCGTGTAACAGGGTCTAACAGCGTGTAACAGGGTCTAACAACGTGTAACAGGGTCTAACAACGTGTAACAGGGTCTTACAGGCGTGTAACAGGGTCTTACAGGCGTGTAACAGGGTCTTACAGGCGTGTAACAGGGTGTAACAGGCGTGTAACAGGCGTGTAACAGGCATCTAACAGGCGTGTAACAGGGTCTAACAACGTGTAACAGGGTCTAACAACGTGTAAAAGGCGTGTAACAGCCTGTAAGAGACTATAACAGCGTGTAACAGGGTGTAACAGGTGTGTAACAGGGTCTAACAGGCGTGTAACAGGGTCTAACAGGCGTGTAACAGGGTCTAACAGTGTGTAACAGGGTCTAACAGTGTGTAACAGGGTCTAACAGTGTGTAACAGGGTCTAACAGGCGTGTAACAGGCATCTAACAGGCGTGTAACAGGGTCTAACAACGTGTAACAGGGTCTAACAACGTGTAAAAGGTGTGTAACAGCCTGTAAGAGACTATAACAGCGTGTAACAGGGTGTAACAGGCGTGTAAAAGGTTCTAACAGCGTGTAACAGGGTCTAACAGGCGTGTAACAGGGTCTTACAGGCGTGTAACAGGCGTGTAACAGGCATCTAACAGGCGTGTAACAGGGTCTAACAACGTGTAACAGGGTCTAACAGCGTGTAAAAGGCGTGTAACAGGCATCTAACAGGCATGTAACAGGGTCTAACAACATGTAACAGGGTCTAACAACGTGTAACAGGTTCTAACAGTGTGTAACAGGGTCTAACAGGCGTGTAACAGGCATCTAGCAGGCGTGTAACAGGCATCTAGCAGGCGTGTAACAGGGTCTAACAGCGTGTAACAGGGTCTAACAACGTGTAACAGGGTCTAACAACGTGTAACAGGCGTGTAACAGCCTGTAAGAGACTATAACAGCGTGTAACAGGGTCTAACAGGCGTGTAAAAGGTTCTAACAGCGTGTAACAGGGTCTAACAGGCGTGTAACAGGGTCTAACAGGCGTGTAACAGGGTCTTACAGGCGTGTAACAGGGTCTAACAGGCGTGTAACAGGGTCTAACAGGCGTGTAACAGGCGTGTAACAGGCGTGTAACAGGCGTGTAACAGGCATCTAACAGGCGTGTAACAGGGTCTAACAACGTGTAACAGGGTCTAACAACGTGTAAAAGGCGTGTAACAGCCTGTAAGAGACTATAACAGCGTGTAACAGGGTGTAACAGGCGTGTAACAGGGTCTAACAGGCGTGTAACAGGGTCTAACAACGTGTAACAGGGTCTAACAGTGTGTAACAGGGTCTAACAGGCGTGTAACAGGCATCTAACAGGCGTGTAACAGGGTCTAACAACGTGTAACAGGGTCTAACAACGTGTAAAAGGTGTGTAACAGCCTGTAAGAGACTATAACAGCGTGTAACAGGGTGTAACAGGCGTGTAAAAGGTTCTAACAGCGTGTAACAGGGTCTAACAGGCGTGTAACAGGGTCTAACAGGGTCTAACAGGCGTGTAACAGGGTCTTACAGGCGTGTAACAGGCGTGTAACAGGCATCTAACAGGCGTGTAACAGGGTCTAACAACGTGTAACAGGGTCTAACAGCGTGTAAAAGGCGTGTAACAGGCATCTAACAGGCGTGTAACAGGGTCTAACAACATGTAACAGGGTCTAACAACGTGTAACAGGTTCTAACAGTGTGTAACAGGGTCTAACAGGCGTGTAACAGGCATCTAGCAGGCGTGTAACAGGCATCTAGCAGGCGTGTAACAGGCATCTAGCAGGCGTGTAACAGGGTCTAACAGCGTGTAACAGGGTCTAACAACGTGTAACAGGGTCTAACAACGTGTAACAGGCGTGTAACAGCCTGTAAGAGACTATAACAGCGTGTAACAGGGTCTAACAGGCGTGTAAAAGGTTCTAACAGCGTGTAACAGGGTCTAACAGGCGTGTAACAGGGTCTTACAGGCGTGTAACAGGGTCTAACAGGCGTGTAACAGGGTCTAACAGGCGTGTAACAGGCGTGTAACAGGCATCTAACAGGCGTGTAACAGGGTCTAACAGCGTGTAACAGGGTCTAACAGGCGTGTAACAGTGTGTAACAGGCGTATAACAGGGTCTAACAGGCGTGTAACAGCGTGTAACAGCGTGTAACAGGCGTATAACAGGGTCTAACAGGCGTGTAACAGCGTGTAACAGGCGTATAACGGGGTCTAACAGGCGTGTAACAGCGTGTAACAGGGTCTAACAGGCGTGTAACAGCGTGTAACAGGCGTATAACAGGGTCTAACAGGCGTGTAACAGCGTGTAACAGGCGTGTAACAGCGTGTAACAGGCGTGTAACAGGCGTGTAACAGGCATCTAACAGGCGTGTAACAGGGTCTAACAGCGTGTAACAGGGTCTAACAGGCGTATAACAGGGTCTAACAGGCGTATAACAGGGTCTAACAGGCGTGTAACAGGGTCTAACAGCGTGTAACAGGGTCTAACAACGTGTAACAGGGTCTAACAACGTGTAACAGGGTCTTACAGGCGTGTAACAGGGTCTAACAGGCGTGTAACAGGCGTGTAACAGGCGTGTAACAGGCATCTAACAGGCGTGTAACAGGGTCTAACAACGTGTAACAGGGTCTAACAGCGTGTAACAGGCGTGTAACAGGCATCTAACAGGCGTGTAACAGGGTCTAACAACGTGTAACAGGGTCTAACAACGTGTAAAAGGCGTGTAACAGCCTGTAAGAGACTATAACAGCGTGTAACAGGGTGTAACAGGCGTGTAACAGGGTCTAACAGGCGTGTAACAGGGTCTAACAACGTGTAACAGGGTCTAACAACGTGTAACAGGGTCTAACAGTGTGTAACAGGGTCTAACAGGCGTGTAACAGGGTCTAACAACGTGTAACAGGGTCTAACAACGTGTAAAAGGTGTGTAACAGCCTGTAAGAGACTATAACAGCGTGTAACAGGGTGTAACAGGCGTGTAAAAGGTTCTAACAGCGTGTAACAGGGTCTAACAGGCGTGTAACAGGGTCTAACAGGGTCTAACAGGCGTGTAACAGGGTCTTACAGGCGTGTAACAGGCGTGTAACAGGCATCTAACAGGCGTGTAACAGGGTCTAACAACGTGTAACAGGGTCTAACAGCGTGTAAAAGGCGTGTAACAGGCATCTAACAGGCGTGTAACAGGGTCTAACAACATGTAACAGGGTCTAACAACGTGTAACAGGTTCTAACAGTGTGTAACAGGGTCTAACAGGCGTGTAACAGGCATCTAGCAGGCGTGTAACAGGCATCTAGCAGGCGTGTAACAGGGTCTAACAGCGTGTAACAGGGTCTAACAACGTGTAACAGGGTCTAACAACGTGTAACAGGCGTGTAACAGCCTGTAAGAGACTATAACAGCGTGTAACAGGGTCTAACAGGCGTGTAAAAGGTTCTAACAGCGTGTAACAGGGTCTAACAGGCGTGTAACAGGGTCTTACAGGCGTGTAACAGGGTCTAACAGGCGTGTAACAGGGTCTAACAGGCGTGTAACAGGCGTGTAACAGGCGTGTAACAGGCGTGTAACAGGCATCTAACAGGCGTGTAACAGGGTCTAACAGCGTGTAACAGGGTCTAACAGGCGTGTAACAGCGTGTAACAGGCGTATAACAGGGTCTAACAGGCGTGTAACAGCGTGTAACAGCGTGTAACAGGCGTATAACAGGGTCTAACAGGCGTGTAACAGCGTGTAACAGGCGTATAACGGGGTCTAACAGGCGTGTAACAGCGTGTAACAGGGTCTAACAGGCGTGTAACAGCGTGTAACAGGCGTATAACAGGGTCTAACAGGCGTGTAACAGCGTGTAACAGGCGTGTAACAGGCGTGTAACAGGCATCTAACAGGCGTGTAACAGGCATCTAACAGGCGTGTAACAGGGTCTAACAGCGTGTAACAGGGTCTAACAGGCGTGTAACAGCGTGTAACAGGCGTATAATGGGGTCTAACAGGCGTGTAACAGCGTGTAACAGGCGTATAATGGGGTCTAACAGGCGTGTAACAGGCGTGTAACAGGCGTGTAAAAGGTTCTAACAGCGTGTAACAGGGTCTAACAGGCGTGTAACAGGGTCTAACAGGGTCTAACAGGCGTGTAACAGGGTCTTACAGGCGTGTAACAGGCGTGTAACAGGCATCTAACAGGCGTGTAACAGGCATCTAACAACGTGTAACAGGGTCTAACAGCGTGTAAAAGGCGTGTAACAGGCATCTAACAGGCGTGTAACAGGGTCTAACAACATGTAACAGGGTCTAACAACGTGTAACAGGTTCTAACAGTGTGTAACAGGGTCTAACAGGCGTGTAA